TTCTAACACAACTAGACAGCATCCCTTCCTAAGAGCAGCCGCTGCAGTTCACACAGAAAAAATCAGCTGATGATTCACCTGGATGTGAGTTAATCTGTATTTCTGGATGGAGGATGGGCAGTTAGTACACCCACACAGAGGAGCGCCTCAGAAATAGCGCTACACAACACATTTAAACAAAATCCTGTATCTTTATTTTTTTATCATTTCGGTTTCTCACCTGGCATTTTGCTTTTTGTGTTTATCTAATCATTTGTATTTGAAGATGTTGGGTTGTATCACAGAGAAGGCTGAAGGCTAACTGAAACAGATTTACATCATAAAGACCAACACGAGCTTCAAAGGCTGCTGGGAACATCAAGTGGTGTTTCCATGCAGACGTGCACCTTGCCCTCTCCAAGGTGAGCAAGTAGTCAAGCGCCTCAAATGGAGATTACTGTGATTACTCAGTCAGCCAAACGGTTTCCTTAGAGACCATAGTAATTAGGCTGCAAGCTCAGAGAAGGGGGGGGGGGGATTAATAATATTGTATTTCTGTCATTTTTGTCGGAGGTGTGATATTAAGCTGTCTGTGAGCAGGGAAGAGAAGTGAGAGTGATTATGGACAAATGAAGTAGAAAATATTTTCTAGTTTTAGTGTCAAAGCTGTCATTGATCAGTGAACCGCTAGTTAAGGCACTGTGCTGGTTTTCTGTTCACATACCCACCAAAGGGATGAATCCAGTTTTTTTTAATGATGTTTCTTCAAACTTTGTTTTTGTTCTTTAACCCTCCCACTGCCTTTATGGATGACCCCACAAGGAAAGTTGACCACTGAGCAGGATTGATGGTTTATCCAGCTTATTGGTGGTCACTCCTCACCCCTGCCACATGGACCCAAGGGATAAACCATCAATCCTGCTCGATGGTCAACTTTCCTCGCGGGGTCACACCCATTAGGACAGTGGGAGGGTTAAAAACCTCAATAACTTCAAACAGAAACTTTAAGATGTGAAGTCTTTTTTCTATTATCAAAAGTTCTTTTTGTTCTGGGTCACAAATTCTGATTTTTTCTTTTCCTTATTGTGGCAAATTTAATTCATACAGTTACATCAATTAGAAAGCTACAGGTAAGTATTAGCTACACATTTTTCAGGTATAATAAAATGAAGTTCAGTCTCCTTTAATTCTAAAATAAAATAAGTTGAGACAGATCATGTGGTTCTTATCAGGTTTATAAACACAAGAAATAACACCTCAGATGAAGTTTGTGTGATTAAAAACACTCATCTGAAATGCAGAAGGAGAATAAATAAATAAAGATATATGCGGCGTCCTTTCTGCTATCATGAATGCTTTAAATTTAAAAGTTTTTGGGCAAAATGACAGTTACCTCAATTTCAGTGATAGGAAAAGTGCCGTGTCATTGTCTCCAACAGCAGCCTACTCCCATTCTCACTAAGTGTGATGCTAAGAGGTGTTTATTAGTCAGTAATATAGTCATTCTCTTTTGTGTACTGCAGCTATGGTGAGAAAACATTTATAAAAACCGTCAGATCAAAAAAGCAAGCCTTGGGAGAAAGCTTCTTGTTATCGTATTAGTCGATTGTTAGCGGTCCAGCTACACGTAGCTGCGAGGACAGCATATGTTCATTATACAGGGCCAATTTCTACTTCAAAAGTTGTGCCAAAGAAACTAAAATACCGTAAATCCTCTAATACAGGCCCGGGCCTGTATTTGATTCAAGCTCATCAAGCTCCAGGCCTTTATTGGAAGGAGGACCAGAATTAGAGGCAGGCCTCTATTTCTATTTGAGCAAAATGAACTAATGGTTCGCTGGAGTTTTTGACAATTAAAATTGCGCCCACATTTTCAAAGTTAACACATTTCTTTTAACAACGGTAGTTTCTGCTTCAGCCCTCTCCCCCCTCCCCCTGCACAGAGGCTGCAAACTCACTGATGCGCCTGCAGCCTCTCAGAGTTCCTGCTGCTCTAAACATTAAAATAATTATTTCATTTTCTGTTCCTCACTTCTGATTACCTTCAATGGTGTCTGTTTGTTGCCACCACCAGGTACAAAAACTAACTTGTTTTTATTTGACTTTTTTTCTGTCCTGCCTGTTTATTATCTTCCTGCATCTCCTCTCAATCCTAAAGAAGAACTGCTACCTGGGTTCATATATATTCACCTTATGAGTTACCTTTGAACTGCAGTTCTAAAAGATCTACCGACCGCAAAAACAGCAGAGTGCTCGCCGGCCACATCAGTTAGGTGTGTCACCGAGGACAAAACAGGTGATGCGCCCCGATCCACAGCAGCGAAACGCATCAGGCACAAATAAAAGAATAAAAGACAGAAAACATAAAAGGGAATGAGCCGACATGAACGATCGCGTGTTAAATTTGTTTTTGAGGTGGTGACACCTGATTTGATAATGTTACTGTGGCCGTGCTCAAGACGCAGATGTCTGGAGCGCGTCAACAATCAGAGCTTTGCATGCGCAAGCTGGTTAAGGTTAGGATGGAGGTGAGGGGAATGTTAAATTGCAAGAGGGTGAATGTCACAATTTGGTTTAATGTCCGTTTTACGGCGGGTGTCAGTACCGACGCTCTGGCACAGCGCTTTGCCTCCCGATGCGCAGGAGCTTGTAACCTGCTGACAGCAGGCTGCTGTCTTTTCCGTGGACTGCATCTTGCCGGTCATTATCACGTGACAGCGACTAGTCGATGACAGGCATAAAAAGTCACTATAGAGCGGTGAAGTTGACTAGTGACTAGTTCATACAACCCCTGCTATTGCTCCCCAGAGTGTTCTGCAGCATAATCAGCACATTCTCTTTGAACTTGATATCAAATTTTCGCCTCCTCTTCGTCTCCGCACGGTTAAAGTTACCCTCGCGGTCTATCACTGCCAAATCAAAAGTGAGACGGATGACACAACCGCCCCCCGTACTTGCTTGTTACAACATTCTACCCGGCCACAATAAAAAACGGCCATTATTCACCTCCGCCGACTCCGACACTGGCCAAAATATGATACCCGGCAGTTAATTAAACACAGGCTAATATTAGAGGATTTACGGTATCTCAAATGCTTTACCTCTGATCTGTCATAGTATGACATTTTGAAAGAGAAGTAGCCGCAGAGCAGTGTTTCCCAACTCTGGTCCACAGGGCACACTGTCCTGCATGTTTTCCATGTTGCCCTTTTAAACACCCATGTTTCCATGCTGCCACACACCTGACTTAAATGAGCAAGTGATTAACAGGCATTTGCAGCAGTTGATGTCCTCCTGAGGAGCCAATGTAAATCAGGTGTGCTGAAGAAGAGACATGGAAACATGCAGGACAGTGGTCTCCTGGGCTCGGTTTTTCAAAAGGTTTAATCCGCATAAAATTGATCCGGATTTAGTAATCCTTTTTTTTTTTTTTTTGCGATTCGTGATCACGTAATCCAGCTTCATTTTGAGCCAGTTTTTCAAAGCGACATCGGATTGGATCAATCTGATCCGGATAGGAACTTTTCAGGATCACCAAATCTGGATAATCAGCTCAAACAGGACAGGAAATCCCAAAGTAGAACTGTAGATATGTAAAGAGCAACAAGTAGAACAGCCAGTGTGGGTCAATATACGTTTAAAAAAATTTAAAACACACTTTAAAAAAACCTAATAACAAGAAAAACCCCACCCCATCCTCTACAGCAGTCCGCTCCTCTGAGACCATCAACACAAACGCTGTAGGTTGAGGATATTTATAACAAGTTTCAAATATAGATGTGTTGAATAATAAAGACTTGATGTCAAATACTCCAAAATAACTTCAGACGTTCTCATCTGATGTGAAGAGACCAGCTTGTCTGAGCGTAGCCTTTAGGAGGCGGAGCTTAAGGCTGGCCTTGGTTGGCTTTTTTCTGGTTATTCTGTAATCATCGCATGCACCACTAATGAATATTCTACAAACAACAATACTTTCTATTGTGATGAATATTTATATCAATTAGTGACAGAATAATTTATTGTTTTTGGTCCGTTTTGACAGCTGTTGGGCATTATTTTATGAGAACAAACTCTTTCTAATTGACTGTAGGCCTGTAGTGAAAGGCTGAATATGTTAAAGCCGACCTAATCACTGCAGCCTGACGGAAGAACAAATAGAAGTAAAACTTATGAATAAACAGGATATCTTGCAAGATACTGTATGATCCAAATAAAGTAGTATTTGAGACATTTTAAAAGTTTTCATTACATTTTGGGCATGAAATCCACGCTGAATCCACCCTTCTGATGGGATCACTTTAATCCAGATTTTTTGGATCAAAGTGATTCAAATCCTACAAAAAAGTTCTGAAAAACCCAAACTAAAGGTTTGATCCGAATCCAAACCAAGATTGGATTATGTGATCTAATCTGAATATGTAATCTGTTTTTCCTTTTGAAAAACCCATTTTCAACACTTGATCCAATCTGTTATCCAAATTCCTCGTGGATTGCTTTTAAAAACTGGGCCCTGGCCCGTGTCAGGAAACACTGGTGTGTAAAAGTTGGGTCATTAAATGGTTGAAAACTGGTACAGATATTTTCCGATATGAAATTTAAATTCAGTTATTGGCCGATAATATTGAACATTGAATATTGAATGAGGCAGCAGTAGCTCAGGTGGTAGAGCGGGTTGCCTCTTGATCGGAGGGTCATGGGTTCGATTCCAGCTCCCGCCAGGGGTATCCTGCTGTTGTGTCCTTGGGCAAGACACTTCACCCAACATGCCTGTGTTAGTGGTGGTCAGAGGGGCCGACTGCGCCAAATGGCAGACCTCCCCAGGGCGGCTGTGGCTACAAGTAGCTTACCATCACTAGCAGTGTGTGAATGTGAGAGTGTGTAAAAGTGTCTTCGGGGGTCTATAAAAGCGCTATATAAGTTCAATGCATTATTATTATTTAAATTAACATCCCTTTGACCTCATTTGTGCCCAAACATTTATTGAACATGTTTTGATTCTGGCCTGGTTTTTGTGTTTTTAGGACATCAACTCAGTCTATCAGATCTTCCCAGATGAGGTTCTTGGCTCAGGACAGTTTGGTATTGTGTACGGAGGTAAGACACTTACAAATTTAACATCATAGCATAAAATGTGAGTAGTTACAGGACTCAGAGGCTTTTTCAGTCGTGAACACTTAGGGATTCCTTTACAGCTCTATACAAACCACATTTGTCTGATTTTCTGATCAAATTTGTGCACAAGCTGATTTAAGTTTGTGTTTTTTTAATAATGACATATTTTCACCTTGAAGGCACACTAAGTAACTTTTTCACATTTGTCAGTCTTTTACCTGAGCTAGTATGTGCTAAAATTACCTTTTACTGGGTTGATGACAAGTATGTCTGACTCCTCCGCTCCTTAAGGGGAGAAAACCAACATGATCCTCTCCAGACCGCTGATCTGAAGTCTCACAAAGTCACACATCTCATGAGAAACAGTAAAAGGTTGTGCAACAAAATATTAATTTAGGGGTACCATCAATTTTGTCCAGGTCTGTTCTGAGTTTATTTTTTTTAAATAATTCCACTGAAGCATGGTTGAAAAGTGATGTCTGACATTCATTGTTTAAATTTCATAGAATTTTTATTTATTATAACTTTTTTTCAGTTTCAAGTTATTTTTGTAACTATTGCGGGGTTTTTTCTTTCATTTAACAAAGGTTACCAACAATTTATTCCACGTCTGTATTTATGGATATTTCAGCTGCAACTATTGATAAACAACTTTTAGAAATGCAAATACAAATCACTGAGCATTTTGTATTTATTGTTGTATTTATTGACTTTATTTCTTTTTTGAAGGTAAACAAAGGAAATCTGGCCGAGATGTTGCAATCAAGATCATTGATAAACTTCGTTTTCCTACAAAACAGGAGAGCCAGCTGCGCAATGAGGTGGCTATCCTGCAGGTAAGTGTTTTCACATGCATACACACACACGCACACACACGCACATGCACACACACACATACACACACACACACACACACGCACACAAACGCGTGCACACACACACACGCACACACACACATACACACACACACACACACACACACACACACACACACACACACACACGCACACACACATACTGGAGTTTTGGATCTTCAGCCTCACAATATTGGTTTCCGGTGGAACAAAGGTGTTAAAAACAATAACGGTACTTATTTTTTATTTTACACAAAACAAATAAATAACAATGTCCTTACTAACGCTATTACTTGTACTATTACTACACTTTTTTTCAGTGAGGTGTAATCTAATTAATTACCGTCTTCCTAATATGTAAAATGCGCACGTTACTATAATTACATTTGGGTCTGACCCAACTTAGTAAAATTTAAGTCCTCGATCAGATTTGTGCTTGCTCTAGAGTCATTTTATTTATGATGTTACTAGATTATGTGTCATATACTTGCTGATAAAACACCCACTTATACAAACAAGTGAAACTGTAAAAGTTAGAAGGTGGTGCAAGTCCTTTTTATGTCAGTAAGTCAGCTTGTACTGTGAGGTCATTTAGAGGCTCAGGAACCCTTTGCAGGTGTGTTCTATTTGCAACGATACATTTTAGTTGAGTGGAGTCATATCACACAGCGACATTTGATTAGTTTAGATTGGTACCATTTCCTGTTCCTCCTGTTTGGGGCCCGTTTATTTAACTGCATCAGTTTTACAAAAAGCTATTGGACGTGCATTTTATTGTGTTCAGTTTTCTTTACCCATCTAAATGTTAGTGTTGAAGTAATTTATAGTAAATGAAGGAAGTTCTATTTAGAGGGGACTACTTTTTCTTGCGTATGTTTTAATTAAAAAGTAATGCAATAGTTACTGTTCCTGGCAATTAGTTACTTCTTTAATCTTGCAGCTCAGTGTAAGGCCTGACTCGAGCTGAGCTGAACCGGAGCGAGAGTTCGGGATGTAGCATGTTTGTGAACCCAAGCGCGGAGTGACTGACGCCGGGCAGGTTGACACGCGGTTTGTTCTAGGAGTCAAACCGTGTAATGACTGGAGAGCACGGCGGCTCCCAAAGGTAACAAGCTGACTTACTTTGAGTCGGCAGGGTGAGTAGCACGGGCTGATCTGGTCAGAACGGGCTGATCTGGTCAGAACGGGCTGAGTGATCGGGTTGGATCTGGTCGGAACTCGGAGCACAGTTCAGTTAGAACGATGACTGAGTGGTTTGGCGTTGAGCTGTACTTCCTTATGTAGATGTGGTGGGTGACGTGGGCCGGAAAACTGGCGCTGGGAATGCTGGGTAGTGGAGTTCGGTTGCCCTGAGTGAGTGTGTGGTCCTCCCCCGGAGGATGTTGAGGGTTGTGAAGGAGGCAGTGTGACACTCAGTCACTACTTTTTTGACAAAGTAATTAGTAACTATAAAGAATTGCTTTCTTAAAGTAACAATCCCAACTCTGTTGATTTCCCATCCCAAATTTTGACCGCACACAAATAGGTTTTCCTGATTTATACTTTTCTGACAGCTCTGCGATGGCGAGACGCAACGCATGAATGCGTTGAAGCAAGGGCTCAGCCGCAGGCCTGCAGAGGGTGACAGAGTCATGCCCAATGTTTTAACTGTCTGTTGACACATGACGGAGACCGCAAATTTCATACAAAAGTACATAGGGTACGTGTTCAGTCCTATGTAAATAAAATAGAGGAGTAAAAGGCATTTGGTTATTTGAATTAATGTGTGCCGATTTAATTTGAAAGTATGAAAAGCTGTGGCATGAGAAACACATAAAAAATAGTGGAAATCATGGTATTATGTTCATTGTATAATAGTCTAATCCAATCAAGTCTGAACTGAAAAGGAATCAAATTGTGAGATACCTAAGATTGCACACCCCTAAAAACACTATCATGGAAAGATGTGTCAGCAATGGTGGCAGAACACCTCCTCTGTTGTCCTGAAGGAGATTGCTTTGCAACGCTCCCCAGGCAATAGAGAGGTCTAAACGGAAAAACATCTCCATCAATCTGTGTGGGCGACTCCACATCCAAGCTGAGAGAAAAATAGTGATCATGCTTTAGCTAAAAGAACTCTCCCAAAACGTATTTAAAATGCCAGAATCTGTTAAGCACCTCGTGATTTTTATCTTGAGAGGCGCTATAGAAATGATATTTTCTTCTTCTTCTTCTTAAATCTGTGAGCTAATAGTTTGTTAGCATGCTACCTCCTTTCACGTCTGTTTAGCCAACAGAAAATCTAAAATTTAACGGATTTGAATTTAGTTTTCCTAAATGTGTTAGAGAGTAAAAGGTGAGAGATATTGAGAAAACAAAAACTAAACAAAAAGCCTGGTGTTAAATGTTTATATAATTATTAATTTATTTTTTCTTATATAGGAAACTTTTTACTGACTGGCTTAATGACCTGACCTGTATTGGAACGTTTACCATGCGAAGGTCCTTGAGACGACTCTTGTCGTGATTTGGCGCTTTATAAATAAACTTGAATTGAAATGTTAACATCCCAAATATTCTTCTAATACCTAATAACCGGGCACACAACAAAAGGTTTACAACAAGATGAAAGGATTTGCCATGATCTTTAGATTGAATGGTCGTCTCTTTCAGAGCTTGCATCACCAAGGTGTGGTCAACTTGGAATGCATGTTTGAGACACCAGAGCGAGTGTTTGTCGTGATGGAGAAGCTCCATGGAGACATGCTGGAGATGATACTGTCCAGTGAGAAGGGTCGGCTGCCAGAAAGGATCACCAAGTTCCTCGTTACACAGGTAATGTTTCAGCCAAACCACGATCATACGCATGCTACTGTTCCTGTAGAGTGGTGTGTGTTTTCTTAGTTTTTCTAAGTAACATTAAAAGGCACATCGTATCTACAACAAAGTATTTGTTTCAGATAGATTTATTTGTAATTAGTCTGTGACAAAAAAGATATTCACACAGGCTTCATCTGTGGCAGTTGTTGAGTCCTCGGGCAGAGGAGGATTGGTGTAGTTCATCTCCATCGTAACCTTACCTTCATCTCCTCACGCTTAGACTACTGTAACTCTCTTTTCACGTGTCTGAGCAGAACCTCCCTGAACCGTCTACAGGTGGTTCAGAACGCCTGTGCTCGGCTTCTGACCAAGTCCTCCAAACACACCCACATCACCCCGCTTCTCCTCCAGCTTCACTGGCTGCCAGTCAACTTCAGGGTTCATTTCAAGATCCTGGTTCTGGTCTATAGGGTCTTATATGGACAAGCACCATCTTACATTGGTGATCTTCTTAGTCCCTATACCTCCAGCAGGTCCCCGAGGTCCAGTGGCTTAAGCCTACTGGTTGTGCAGCACCAGGCTAAAGGTCAAAGGTGACAGATCATTTGCTGCTGTGGCCCCCAGACTCTGGACCTCTCTCCCCCTGAGCCTGAGATCAGTGGACTCAGTGGTCTCCTTTAAACTCACCTGTTCAGGCTTTTGTATGACCTTCTTCACCACTCTCTCCTTATTCTGCGCTCCCCACCTATTCCACCTTCCTCAGGATCCACTGATTTCCCTCTTTCCTATTCCCTCTTTCTCTTTCTTTACATTTTTAATCACAATTGTGTATTTGTGCTCATTTTAAATATAGTTTTTAACCACTTAAAAAAATATTTTTTATATTTAACATTTTTTGTTTTTGTGAAGCGCCTCGTGATTTTTATCTTGAGAGGCGCTATAGAAAAGATCTTTTCTTATTCTTCTTCTAGTTGGATGTGTAACGTGATGAAGGAGCCATTTCTCAAGGTTATTATCCTCTAACCACTGTTCCCTTCGACACAGCGCCAGAGTGCATGAAACAGCCTCAAGGTCATGCATTCACTTCTAAACTGTTTACGTTCCAGCAATGAAGACAGAAGATGAAGACTCTTTTCTTTTCTTTAGAGATTAGATCAAAGAACTCTATTTTCAATAAAGCCAATCAAAACAACTGTTAGTCAATAATACAACGTGACCGATCTGTGAAATCACAATATTATGATTAATATGTTTTTAATAAGTAAATGACTTATTTTAGTCACTAGACACGCTGATGCACTAAGGTAAATAATCACATGACACATTGCTGTTGCTGATCCAATCAGAACCTTCCCCGTCTGAAGCGTGGCAGAGTCTCTGGGTGTTTATTAAGTCTGTCAGCTTTGATTCGTCCGGAATCAAAAACATCCAGATTAATAAAACAGTTCCAACACCATTTTAAGTCATTATTCAACAAGATCTCAAGATCCCCTGAAGTTCACCGCATGTTAAGTGAAGTATGGACAGGCCATCTGTACTCCTCTTTTTAAGCTAAGAACTATCAAGCTGGGAAAAATCTGTCATTGTCAACCAACAACGGGTCCTTCAGAATAAAAGCTGAACTTGCTCACCCAAGGAGGGTCTTCTTTTTGACGCTGTGAAACACCTGTCGCTGTTTACCTGGAGACAATCCACGGACTAGTCTGTCGTGCTGTGACGCTGTACCATTGGCTCCAGTACTGGAAGGAAGGTCCGAGGACCTGGGTTTCTGGATCCACCGTGGAGGTCTCACTGAAGGGTATGCGGATGCGACAAACTGGCGTCTCATGTGGTTATTATCACGGGCTCAAACTTGATCAGTTAGGTGCAAAATATCATCTCCCACTCACACTCTGCTTCTCTGGATACGGAGGTTCTGAACTTGACAACATTCACACACACCATCCACCTCACACTTCATTCCAGCAGAACATTCATCATTAGAGAGTTAGTCTTGTTTAATTGTTTTAAATTATTTAGTAAATAAATTTCCTTAAACGTTTGAAAGTCTTTCTCTCTCTCTCTCTCTCTTCTCTTGTCTCTCAGTTCATGCAAAGTGTTTATTTAATTTCCCTGTAATAAAAAGATCCAATCTTCTGATTTAAATAACCCAGTATCCATTAGATGGGGTTCATATTCTATATGAATCTTTAATGTCTTATGGTCATTAATTAAATGTAATTCTAATCCATAGCAGATGTGTCAGAGGGAAGTAAAGCTGAGTACAGGCTACTTGCAGATAACTTTATTACACCTTAACCATTGGAGACTGCTGACAGTGTGTTGGAAGATGCTCAGGATGCTGAGTACATGGTGGATGGTGTAATTCTCCATTCTCTGACATGGTCAGGAAGAAGATTGGGGGGTGGACACCAACAGACCACTGAAACTGACCCACAAGACCAGTAATAGTGTTGAAGTGGAGCTTAGAGAATAACTCTTAGCCTAGTTGACCCTGAACGTGGAAAGGATCCGGTCCAGTTTTTGTACGGCTTCTGCATCATTAAGAAATTGTTGAGTACAATCAGAGCGTTCACACCAGCTGTGGTGCAGATCCGGACCTGGACGCTGCATGCAGATTATGACGAGGGTAAAGAAATGAGATGAGCCAGACTGTGAGACATGTTTCAGTGAGGTGCATCTGGTATATCCCAATTTAATAAGCATTTCTGGCCAGCTTTAGTTTTAGTATTAATGACGGTGAAATCAGTTTACAGTGAATGATGGTTCACATCTATAATAACAAAAAAAGCTAGTTTTTAAACACAAACGGTTTCACAGAACTTTCACCCTCCTGTCGGCTTTCATCCTCCCGATGTGGGATCGCCAGAGTAAAGGAGAGCACTAAACACCAGGTGCTGTATTCTTGTTCCAAACAACTTTTGTTGTCTGTCACATGAAATGGTGATTTTCTTTTTGGGACTCTGCTAGTTTGTCCTAAAGCTGAAGTGGTAGCAGCCGGCTGTTTCTCCTTCTCTGATCCAATTAAATTAAAATTCAAAAATACTTTATTAATCCCAGAGGGAATTAGAGATGTTATTGAGTGGAGAACCTCTCACAGTGCATAATGAGTGGAGGACCCAGGTAAATTCAAATGTGCAGCAGTTTGGTGAGACTGATTACCGGATTCATTACATTTTTTTCTTTTTTTTAAACTCCCCACAAAATATCCATAGCTATATGTTAAAACATTAAAAGGCAAATAAAGAGGTTTTAAGCTAGCTTGTTTTGTAGATTTGCCATTGTAGCTTTAAAGGTTTTGTGTCAAATTTCTAATATTTTGGTGCCCTTGTGGGAGCAGATATCTGGATATGTTCAGCAGTCGGATTGAGTGGCAGTGAGTCTGGAAGTGAAATGGAAACCGGACCGCCTCGTACCACTCTCGGTGTGAAACAGCCTGACATGCTGGTCAGTGGCAGAAGCACGTTATATATCAAGGATTATTAGTAAAACTGCAACATCTTTGTCAAATTTTCTGATGTAAAGTTGGTGTTTTGATGTTGAGTTTTCATTAAGAACCTTCTCGTTACCTGGTGAACAATGTTCACATGTCAAAACAAAGAAGTTGTCTAATGAAGATCACCTGTTTTTGTCTTCATAGAGTGTTCTGCTGCTGTTCTATGTACTTCACAAAAGAAACCTGCAAGCTGTAGAGCCTCTGATTTTGAGATGGACTTTGAAAGTCTTTTGCCCAACATTAGTAATGCTGACCCAGCCAAATTCACACTAGACAAAAACATTTTTGCTTAGTGTCCACAAAATAAAACCACATTTCTCTTGGTGTAATAGTGGGATGTTTCTGTCTTTAGATTCTTGTGGCTTTGCGTCATCTCCACTTCAAGAACATTGTCCACTGTGACCTGAAACCTGAAAATGTGCTCCTGGCCTCTGCAGATTCCTTTCCTCAGGTATTATCTGTATTCAGGCTTAATGCTTTACTGGTTTGTTTTAAAACTTGGGCCACTAAATGGCTAACTGCTTTCCAGATTCAGAACCAAATGATGTTTAAGTGCAGCGGCACAGTTACGAGAACGACTACATGACCTGCACTACTTTATTCACACTTTGTTTCATACAGAAAGACTTTTTTTTTTTTTTTGCTAAATCGTTTAGGCCAGTCGTTGAACAAATGCAGTAATAAATGAAAACTGGTATAAAATGAAAATCCCTTATATGACATATCACAAGTAAAGATAATTTGGCAATGTTAAAAATAATAAAAAAAAATATATAAATAACCTTTTACTTTTTAAGATGTGAAACTCAAACATTGACTTCCTTTATTAAGGCCTGCCTCTGGTGAGAGGTGATGGTTAGGGTGAGATCTTTAGTAATACTCCTTCATTGTCCAACTGCAGGTGAAGCTTTGTGACTTTGGATTTGCTCGAATAATTGGTGAGAAGTCCTTCAGGCGCTCAGTTGTCGGCACGCCAGCATATCTTGCTCCTGAGGTCCTGAGGAACAAAGGTTACAACCGCTCTCTGGACATGTGGTCTGTCGGGGTCATCATTTATGTCAGGTAGGGCATCATGTGAAGGGAAGGTTTTTGTCTCAAAGGCATTACCCAGTTGGTGTTTATAGTTATTTAGGTGCATTAGAGTGTTTGTTTGTGTTGACTTTAATCCATGCAAACACAATCTAATGTCGGTTAAAGGTGCAGTGCATATTTCAGTTGTAAAACTCTGCTTGCAGTCTCAGTGGAACATTCCCTTTCAATGAAGATGAAGATATCAATGATCAGATCCAGAATGCGGCCTTCATGTACCCTCCTCATCCCTGGAAGAAAGTTTCCCAGGAAGGTACGTAATCCAGCTGAAACCCTTAGTGACTGGATCTCAGCATCCAAACAGGGTTTATGGGTATTTCATCTCAAACTGATCTAATACCGTTTAAGCAAGTAGTTTTCCTTTCCTTCGCATATTTCTCTATCGTTGTTTATTGTTTTTAAAATGTGTTGTCTGATGTGCAAATAAACATTTCCAATCAATCAATCAATCAATCAATCAACAAATCAATCAATCAATCAATCAATCAATCAATCAATCATCTGTCTATCAACAGATCAGTCAGTCAGTCTGTCTGACTGACTGATTTGTTGATAGATAGACGGACAATCAATCAACAAATCAACCAATCAATCATTCAGTCAATTAATCATTCAGTCAATCAACAAATCAATCATTCAGTCAATCAATCATTCAGTTAATCAATCAATCAGTCAATCAATCAATCATTCAGTCAATTAATCATTCAGTCAATCAACAAATCAATCATTCAGTCAATCATTCAGTCAGTCAATAAACAAATCAATCAGTCTATCTATCTATCAACAAATCAATCAATGTGGGAACAAATTTAAAAGGGTTTGTTATAATGTTGTGATTTAATCTGTTTGGATTACAGGAGTGAGACCAGGCAGGAGTGAATTAACAGTCAGTGCTTTTATGACAGAATTCATTAGATCTCTTCTTGGTGATGAATCGACAAGTTCATTGAAGTGAACAAAATGTTGGTGGGAAAAGTAAACATTTTATGATAATGTACTCAAAAGCTTGTCCCAGTAATGGATTAGAGTATAGTATTAGGATAGTTTAGTTAGCATTGCCAGCCATGTGATTACTATTGAGATACGGAGTTACTGGTTTAATCCTGATCAGTAAAAATGTTTCATAATGAGTTGATACTGTTTAGGGCACTTGCCACTAGAGTTGTCTGATCTGTGTTAAAGGTGCCTTAAACTTTATGGGCGATGGTGGCAGAGGAGTTAAGTGCCCGCCCCATAAACAGAGGATGGCAGGTTAAAGCTCCACTCAGTCTGCCGTAGTTGTGGTGTCCTTAGGCAACACCCTTCTTGCCTGCTGATGGTGGTCGGGGCGACTGGTGGTGCCATTGTTTAACAGCCTAAATTTTGTCAGTAAGCCCCAGGGCAGAATATCAATGGCAGTCCATGCTTATTTTCTTTTGCTTCCATTCGACTTCACCAGCAACTCTCCTACATTTACTATCCTGGTTGTTTTGGACAAGGTCTGCCAATGTAATTTCCCACTGAGTTACGACCAATCAGTGTGAGTTAAGCTCAGCTACTCCACCAGGCTGTTACGAGTAGCTACCCTGGATAAGGTACTCCAAAAGTTCCTGAAAATGGCCAATTGGCCGGCCCGGTCAAGTGGAGACACAGGCATGTCGGGAAGTTCCCGTAAATCTCTCCGGACGTTCCGGTAATGGAAACGCACCTATAGCTGTACTTGGTTTCACGCCATCTGAAAAAAAAAAAAAACAAATGTAAATGTAAATGGCCAGTATTTGATATAGCGTCTCCCAGGTGCTTTTCAACACAAACATTCATCCACCCATGCACACACACACATTCACACACTGCTGATAAACTACAATGTAGCAGGGGTAGACTGGCCATCTGGCATATCGGGCATTGTTCCTGTGAACTGCTGACTTTGTGGACCGGTCCGGTCAGCCACCCCTCCAAGAGATGGACAAATCTCCCCCAGCACCCCACTCATGCGGATGACCTAAGTTATGCCACAGTTGAGTTTTGTCCCAGTCTACCCCTGCAGTTTGTCCACAGCTGCCCTAGGACAAGCTGGCAGAGGCAAGGCTGCCGAACACTAGCGCTACCGGTTCCTCTAACCACCATCAGCAGGAAAGGTGGGTTGAATGTCTTACCCAAGAACACAACAACTGCGAAAGACAGGGCTTGAACCTGCAACCCTCTGACAATGGGGCAGGCACTTTACTCTTCTGCCACCATCGCCAGTCTCCCCAGTTCTCTTTAGCTATTCGGCACAAATAGGGGGCATTTGTCTGAGAGAGGTTTTTATCTCTAAACTCCAGGTATTGTGGAGCTTCTTTAGTTTCCAGTGGGAAGCTGTGTTACTGCTGACAACAGCCAAGAGAAAGGAAACACCTTTAGGTGTTGGGTAGACAGTAATAAGAGTTACACCTGAGTTGTTATTTCAAATGTAAAGGCTTAAAAACATAACTTAATTTTAAATCCTTGATTGTGGTGACACAAAGATAACTCAGAAATTCCCCCAGAATGAAATACAATTTATTTCAAATGAGGATTCACGAATGCAGTTAACTATTGAGGCTAAACTACTTAGAGGGAAGTACACTAGTTAGGCTGTGTCAGAGATGACAGTGTAGACATTAGTGGTGTGCATCTCTACCTGCCTCACGATTCGATCCGATTCCGATTATCTGCCTAACGATTCGATTTGAGTCTGAAATGCATCACGATTCTTCACACAAAAAAATTTTCATTACTTAATAAAAGCAGTAGAATAGTTTTCAATTTCTTTTTGATTTCGAAATCCCTGAAAAACAGAACATTCATCTATTCACTATAGTGAGCAATAATGTTTAAAGTGTGCTGCCTATAATTACTTAAATAATATAAGAAATAATGTGTTCGGTAGAGCAGCTTTAAGATAGAATATTACTGAACTTAAAAATAGTAAACAAATACTGTGTTAAGTGATTCTTTAACATCCAGGATCCCTAAACTGAAATTAGCCCAGACATCCAATTTAAATGTAATGGCCGGGTACATCTTTGATTACTGGTAATGTTGGCCCTGTATCCCTGTCCAGTTGCTTCTAGGACAACGCAGTGCGCATGTCATTGCAACTCTGCCCCCAGAAGTAATACCTCAAACTTTTATTGTCCTCGCATAGACATAGACCAGGGGTCGGCAACCTGTTCCCATCAAAGAGCCATTATTACCCGTTTCCCACAGTAAAGAAAACACCGCAGCAGCCACGGCGTTTTGGGCGGGGCCTACCCTCAGACAGCAGCCGGTACCGGTCGGCCGCTCGTGTACGTCAAAGTTATCTTTCATAAGAAGATAATCAATAAAACGATTTATATAAAGTGGATCCAGAAGTTGTAGCCCGTCTCTGCCTACAGTATTTTGATATTTTTCACCCTGTTGGTGGTTTTACTGAGCAGGTCCCACTTTTGTCATACGTTTCTTTTAAAACATGTTTAGACTGTTCAGAATACAAATCCAGGCTTTGTCACGTTTGATTGTTGTAATTAAACTTTGTAGGTGGGGAAGGTCAGAAAAGGATCCGATCATTTTGTTTTTCCCTCATTTACAGTGACGGAGACAACGGTGCAGTGCGCCTGGCTCTGGTGTTAATCAAGTGAAATTATGTTTCTTTACAACGATTTTCACAAGAAAACAGAACAGTTAAAAGCAGGGCTTGTGTTGTGTTGACCGGATAGTTCCCGTATTTGACTGTTTATTTTGACGGAGAAAGAACAGAAAGAATTACCCCGACGCATGCAGACGAGCTGACATTTTATTCGTTTCGCACATCGCAGATGTAGCTAAATCACTTAAGAAAAGATTCCCATCTGAGCTGGACACTGAGCTCAGCGCAGCTCGCTGTCAGCGCGTGCGTACGGCGCACAGTGAGCTGAAGAAGTGGAGAGGGGCTTGGAGCATGTCGCAGAACCAGGGCGCATGCAGGAAGATTCCTCCGACTGAAGCGAGACTTGTCACTTAGAAAATGTTCCCTGATTATGAAACTTTGGCTGAATAGTGCTTGTTCCTGTCTCCAATGTGGCGACACATCCAGGAGCTGAGGAGAATCCCAGAATCTCACATCCTCGTCAGCTCAGAACACACATATGGTTACGCACAAGCGTGACCCGTCAACCCGGTCTCACAGTAAGACTGGGTTGCACCTGTTCAAGTTTACGCAGACAATCTTTACATTTAGAATTGGCTTACAGATGTAAAATTAATGCAGTAAAATATAAAGCATTTTATTTAAATATCCATTCATTATTTTACAAGCACAGAGAGCCGCATCAGATGGATGGAAGAGCCGCATGCGGCTCCAGAGCCGCGGTTGCCGACCCCCGACATAGACATAGGGAGAGAATCTCATTATGTCACGTTGCTGCATCGATGCGGAATCATGCACGGCTGAATCGCGATGCATCTTAGAATCGACCATTTTTCCCACCTCTAGTAGACATTGTGCAAGCACTGAGAAGTGCACTAGCGTGCAGTAGAGTAAGGAGAGGGACGTGTAGGGCAGGTGCGAGGATATCTTTGTTACGTTTGTACTGTGTGTGTGTGTGTTATCCAGTTTTATTTTCTTTAGTTCTTCATTAAACACAGAGTGAAATGGGTTTGTTGTTACCTTTTCTGACATGTTTCAACGTTCACTACCTCCTTCGTCAGAGCAACCGCCAGATGTTGGTGGCGTCACTTCCCTTTATCCGCAGGCAGCAGAGGACGATATCTTCCTCATGTTCCATGATTGGTCCAGCATGTAGACTCCTTCGTCTCTGTTCATGGTCCTGGATCCACGTCTCCTTATCTCAATGACTTCTTTGATCCATCTTTTGAATTTCTGTTGCTCTGTGTTTATGACCCGTGCTATCCCAGTCCATTATATGGTTTTCTCTTGTGCAGTGGTCTGTTATGGCTGATTTCTTTATTGTGCTTTCTACTTCTGGTTTAGCTGCTCTTCTGTGTCTTTGACTTGTTTCTTTCTCAGACTCCTTTTTATCTTCTGCTTTTCGTGTGTTGAGTTGGCGTCCTGGTTCTCCTATGTATGTTTTATAGCAGAGTTTGCCTGGTATTTCACATACGACTCCACATTTTAGTGCTGATGATCGTCTTTTGGGTGTACTAATCGTTACCTAACTGTCATACGGTTTTATTGGTATTGTGTTTTTTCATCCCTGTTATAATCTTTTCTTTTATGCCTTTGATTTAAGGAAGAGTTGTCACTGGTTTTGGCTCGGCGTGTTCCTTATA